CTCCACCTGTAGAAGAATGAAACTAAACCCCTATCTTTCACCTTTCACAAAAGTCAACTCCAAATATGTCAAAGACCTGAATGTGAAGCCTCAAACTCTGAAACTGTTAGAAGAAAACATTGGCAATAACCTACAAGATATAGGTGTAGGAAAAGATTTTCTAAACTGGACAGGGACTGCTCAGGAAATAAGGTCAAGAATTAAATGGGACCTCATTAAACTAAAAAGCTTCTGTACATCAAAGGAGGCAAACGGAAGCGATCAGAAAACCCAAAGAATGGGAGAAAATCTTTACCAGCTACACATCTGACAGCGGTTTAATATCCAGAATATATAACGAACTCAAAAAACAGAGAATCAAGACAAGAAGGAACCCAATTAAAAATGGGCTAAGGAGTTGAACAGAGAGTTCTCAAAAGAAGAAGTAAAGATGGCTATGAAACATATTAAAAGATGTTCAACATCACTAATAATTAGGGAAATGCAAATTAAAACCACTTTAAGATTTCATCTTACCCCAGTCAGACTGGCTAAGATCAAGAGAACAAATGATACCAAATGTTGGAGAGGATGTGGGGAAAGGGATACACTCATCCACTGCTGGTGGAACTGCAAGCTTGTTCAACCCCTATGGAAAACAGTGTGGAGAACTCTTAAAAAACTACAAATGAACCTACCATTTGACCCAGTTATACGACTCCTTAGCATATACCCAAAGAAGAACTCATCCTATTGCAGAGACACTTGTACATCCATGTTTGTTGTTGCTCTTTTCACAATAGCTAAGAGATGGAAGCAACCTAGGTGTTCCTCAATTGACAAGTGGATAATGAAAATGTGTTTCATTTATATGATGGAGTTTTACTCAGCAGTAAAGAAAGATGAAATCATGAAATTTGCAGGTAAATGGATGGTACTAGGAACTGTTATACTGAGTGAAGTAACACAGACTCCAAAAAAAAATAAATCGACATATGTTCTCCCTCATATGTGGATCCTAGAACCAAACCCTGATAAGTGAGTATGTATCCAGACATAACTACAAGAACCAGGATAATGGAAAGGGACCAGGGAGTTAAAGGAAAAGAAACAACCTGAAAGAGAAGAACAGTAGGAAACAGGCCTTAATAAGGGAGATAGAGACAAATATTGGGTTAGTTTAAGGGAGGGGGGGAGGAAAGGGTGTGCAATGAACCTAGGTGATAAAGGGAAAGAAGGAGCTCAAGAGAGGTAGGACCTTAGGAGAAGGGTATTATTAAGGGAGAAAGGGGGGAAATGGGGCACCTTAAGTGGGAAAACCATGATGGAGGGGTGAGACAATGAGAGAGATAAACAATGCCTAGCTAGTTTTGAAAACCAGAGGGAACCATATTACTCCTACAACCTACTGACAAATTATACATAGCAGATCAAGAAACATATGTCTAAGTAAGGTTTATCTGAGAAACCTTGATTTGGTCTTTGCCCAAGATTTATCTACATGACACACAGTGATTAAAAGTACCAGACTGGTGGAACTAACCTTCTTGGGTGTTTAACAGACATACTTTGAGGCCTATACTAATTTGGTCAGAGGGACATAAAGGACAGTTTTTGTTCCTTGCCTTCCTAGGTCGACTAGTTCCAGGGGGCTATGAGCATCTCTCAAAATGTCCTTAATGGTGGTGGGTCACCCGTCCTCTTGATCAAGGAGGCCAAGGAGTCCCCACCAGATGGACTTGAACCAGTGTCCACTCTACAAAGAGGAGGGTCAACACAGAGGAATCACTTCCTCCATGCTTCCAAGCGAAGCCAACCATGGTCGAGCAGGACCTTTGACTTATCTTCACATAGGCAGAACTGGTAAAAGAAAGGAGCCAGGGGCAACTCCCATGCCCACGTGACCCCTGAGGAACAGGTCCTCAAACGGCCTTATGAGAAAAAATAAATTGGTTTATCAAGGCCAACTGTATGGCATTAAACATCCAAAAGGAAAGAATAACCAAAGATTAAAGGGGTCAGTATAATTTCTTAAGAGTCCATATGCATAGCTAAAGGCTACATAACAAGCAACAATGCCAGATAG